CTGTGTGCTTGGTATTTTACACTTAGCTGTTGGGACTTTCACGATGGGGGCTAGTGGGCGTCCCTCAGCACCAACCACTACTGGTTTCCCCAAAGCTGACTTATTGGTAGTATTCTTCTTGCACTGGCTCCTCATATGTCCTTGATTTCTACAGTTCCGTCAACATTTCTGTGTAGCAGCCTTTCCTGCCATGGCATCTTCCCTGTGTTGAAGTTTCCAGCATTGAGCGTTCTTGTGCCCAGATTTGTTACAGTGTCAGCTAAGTCCCTCAAACGTTTCTGAAAGCTGCCCTTTTCTGGCCTTGAATCCTGATAACTGTGCCAACCTTGGTACCTCTGTGTTGGATGTAACATAGGATTCAAATTCAAGAGCTCTGGCCATTGCACCCTGCATAGTAGAGGGGTGTGTGCTTGCTTTATTTGTACCAAAAAACGTACATCATGTATAATAATTAAACGAACCTCCTAAACGTCACGTTAGTGTAGCCTATATAGTGTGTAAAGTTTACTATACTCTAATTCCTTATAGTGATGGCACATGACGAGACACGCATTCGTCATGTAATGCTGTTTGAATACAAGTATCCACAAAGAATATCAAAGAAGTTTATGGAAATGTTTTGAACGTTCATAAGTGCCAACGATGGTTCAGAAAATTTCGTTCAGGTGACTTTAGCCTTAAAAACTGTAATGGCAGGGGCTGACATGTTGGAATTGATACTGGTGCTCTTTTTGTAATGTACAATTCTACAACGCCGATATCTAGCGATACTCCGCAAACAAATTCATATTATTATTTTAGATAATCGACGAATATGTGTCTTCACATGCAATTCACTCAGCCGAGTCAGTTGTAAAAGGGACTGGTCATATTCTAAAGGGTTGAGTTCAACCTCCTCATCAATAAGCTTTCAAACTTCAGCAATTTCTGATAAGGGGAAATCATCCTTTGGTGGGTCAGCGGTAAGTCTTAGGGCTTATGAAGCTAAAAAAAACGGTGTTGATACTCGCATTGGGCATATCACAAATAGCTCATTGTTTAGCTATGTGCTTAATAACAAACAAGCAAACTAAGTATTGTTGCGTCAGCGAGATCACGTGACTATTCTCGCGCCCTCTGCTTTCTAGAACTACCCTGTACCTTGGCGAATGCTCTAGCATTTACTAGATATAGGGTAGTCTGGTATATAAAAGAGGGGGACAACGTGACAAGAAGAATGTGTGTGTGTGTAGTAATTGATCTGCAGTCAGAGAGTATTATTGAGCACGTTCGTTGTTATAGCGTTTGTTTTAGCGCGATTGTTGAAATTAAGTTTATCGTAAAGTTATATTCGGAAAGAATAAACCAGTTTTATTAAGTAAGGACTTGTGTCGCTAAAGTTTCGTTGGAACGAAGTTACAGAAAGTTAATTAACAAACGGAGACGTAACAGTATAAAAGCTGTTTGAAATTTAAACCAAAAAAGTTGGTTGCTCTTGCTGAGGTTAACTTGGTTGAAACAGGGGCAAGTCTAGCACTCTTTTTTTTATAGCCAAGGGGCACTGCTTCATCTTCATTCCCTCTAGTTCCAGTATATTAGAGGCAAAGATGAATAGCAAAGATGAATGGCAAAAACAGTAGTTTTTCATCCCTCTCTTTATTATGTAATTTTTTAATTTGGTGTATTTTGTGCTTTTATGCATGCATAAATTTATTTTGTATGCTGTTTTTCTTATAGAGGAATATTTCGACTAAAAGTGGTGTTTGGTTCCAGTAGTCGTCCCCCCGTGACTCACCGGTAAGTCTGTGGGCTACTAAAACGAAAAACTGTGTTGCGTCAGCGAGATCACGTGCTATTCTCACGCCCTCTGCTTTCTAGAACTATCCTGTACCTTGGCGGATGCTCCAGCATTTACTAGATATTGGGTAGTCTGGTATATAAAAGAGGGTGACAACGTGACATAATAATGTGTGTGTAGGTAGTGAGTAATTGAACTGCAGTCACAGGGTATTGTTGAAGTTAACGTTCGTTCGTTATAGTGTTTGTTTTAGCGCGAATATTGAAATTAAGTATATCGTAAAGTTATATTCGGAAAGAATAAACCAGTTTTATTAAGTAAGGACTTGTGTCGCTAAAGTTTCGTCGGAACGAACTTACGGAAAAATCAATAAATAAACGGAGACGTAACAACTGGATTCCGATACCCGTAGTGGGCACAGTACAGAAAGCCCACTGTGAAGCTTTTCGCTTAGTGACAAACAAATAAACAAAAACTTCAGTCGTATTGAAAAACTGATAGTTTATCGAAACTATTAATTATTATTGTTGTTTTACTAGTTCTTATGTCATAAGTAATGTGTTACCGACACAATGATTACATTCCTACATTTATGATGTGGAATGTGTATATTACACTGTAGCTGTGTTGAATAGAGTGACGGAGCTTACGTAGAAACATATATTGGGTACAGACGTAAACAGCGGTCATGTGTACAGTTAGTGTTGGTGCGACGAATTGATAAGGTCTAGCAAAACCGTGTTTCAAAATGTACTTTGAGTTTGAGAACGTATGTATTGTAAGTTTAAGGTTATCGACAAATTTTGGAGCTGAAAAAGTTTTAATTTGATTGATACAAATTGTTTTTGAGTTTTATTGTAGTGTAATTTATATTTTTACTTAGTTATTAAACTTTAAAATGTAAGTTAATAGCTACAATAACTGTTGTTAACTAGTTAGGCTTAACCTTTTTTTAGCAATCGCCCTAAGAAAGGTAAATATTGTAAATTATGAAACGCATGACAAATTATTGGATAATTTGCCTGCATTGTAATATTAGTAAAACCAGTATTTTGTTTTTATTCGCATTAATACTGGTTATTTCCAATATTGTTAGTTAAATATACTGGGTTAAAACTGCAATTGATTAAAACTAGTAAAAAACATCATGTTGGCTCAGCAGTAAATCTGAGGGCTTATCGGGCTAAAATCGGGTTTTGATACTCGTGGTAGGGATAGTACAGATGCTGAAATAGCCAATTGTGTAGCTTTATGGTTACCAAAAAAAAAGTGATTTAAAATGACAGAACATAACGTTTTGTCGAAAGGTTGTATGGCCCACTTGCATTAACTTTGATGGTTGATTTTGAGGCAACTTCTCCACTGTTAAAAACAAAATATTTTCAAGTTCATTATATGCTATAGCTTTCCAGTACCACTACTGCAGTATAATGTTAACATTAATTTGGTATTGCAGACTTAAACTGTGGGAGTTCAGGTGGATAGAAAGTTTTAATAAATATTCAGTGCCAGAATTTTGGGCTACATTCCCTTATAGCATCATTAGAATGATGGGTGATAAAAATCAATCTAAAGATAAAGACTACATTAGAACCAGTGACAACATTCATACACACACTTTCATTTGAGTCGTTGAATGATGGGTGATAAAAATCAATCTAAAGATAAAGACTACATTAGAACCAGTGACAACATTCATACACACACTTTCATTTGAGTCGCTAGTTGGTTAGATTGAGTGACACATTTGTCCATGTTATATCTAATTTTGGTATGCTTAAACTATGAGAGAGAGAGTGTGACGTCATTTGTCAAAACGTATCACCTTCATCCTCATGCAACAAGTTACTTTGTAAGAATAATGTCATAAAAAAAAAGGCCTAAGAAATATAGTGACAAGGCAAAAAGCCTTATAACTTACGAATAAGATAGATGTTTGGATGTGATAGCTTATTTTTAATGTAATTGTAGTGTTTCAGTTTGGGAAGGGTTTAATTTATATTACCATGATCTTGTTAAACATATTTTAAATATATCTCATTTGGTAGCTTTTCCTAATTTGAATACACATGGTTAGAAAAGTAACATTAATAGTAAAAAAAAAAATTCCCAATTCTAAGTAGTCTTTATCTGAATATGTTGTTGAAATTATTTACTTCTTCTTTCTCATATTTTACAGGCAAGGAAATAGCCTATTAAAGAGTAGTTTGAACAGAGTATAAATTACAGACGGTACCAGTACCGTATCAAATGCAGGGTTGGGAAACAGATCCCATCCCTTTCATGAAAAAGGTAAGTTTCCTAGGATAAACAGTGTGCTTTGAACTAGAGATAATCTGATTAACAGTTTGACCAATTAATGACATTTTGGTAGTGATTACTGATAAAACTTGGTGTCCTGTGTGACTAGAAAATTTCTTCTCCACCTTCCCCCCAAAAATATGATACTTATGTACCAATTTTGTGTAATTTGTTTGTTTTTGACATTGATATATATAATCTTGTGTTTGTGTGGTAAGGAAATTGGATTGTAGGTTGAGGATTTTTTATGGTTTATTGTTTTTTTACCAAGTGTCATCAGGATTTTGAATATGTAAAATAGCTTTAAAATGTTGAACTACCCCAATAGTCAACATCAAATTTCACCTTTCCCACTAAGTGTTGCACTACAACAGTGAAATTCCTTAACGAATATTACTATTATGTTGACTAATTAGGCCAAAGAATATTTCAAAAAAAAAACTTTTTTTTTTTCAGGCTCTATAATTATTGTTTATTGTGGTATAAATCTACAGATTATTTTATTGTTTAAGTTTCACTTTGCACATTTTAAGCAAGAAAAAAAATAAAACAGCTCAGTTTCTTGTCTCTACCCATTTCCATAGCAATCAGTGCTAATCATCATCTGTTAAGTGCCATTCTAGTCAGTTGTTAATGTTGTTAAGTGCCATTCTGGTCAGTTGTTAATGTTGTTAAGTGCCATTCTGGTCAGTTGTTAATGTTGTTAAGTGCCATTCTGGTCAGTTGCTAATGTTGTTAAGTGCCATTCTGGTCAGTTGCTAATGTTGTTAAGTGCCATTCTGGTCAGTTGCTAATGTTGTTAAGTGCCATTCTGGTCAGTTGCTAATTAATTGGCACACTTTAAACGAGTGAAAGTCCTGATTTTAATGGAACCATTGTTTTTATGAATTTTAATGCCATTTTTAACATTGTTTCCTTTACATTATACTCTCCCTCTGATACATAGATTTAATTATAAATGATAATATGATATTAGACATTTTACACAAAATGTGCAAAGAAAGTAATACTTTATTGCCCCCTGAAGAAACCATCACACATAAAAATACTACCTGAATAGTTTTATTATATGCCAGCATGATGTACCAGTTAACTGAAGACTTGCTGTGAAAAAAAACTTTACAAAATTTCATATGATATAGGAAACTTATGTGGGCCTAAGCCAAAACTTGATGTGTGTGTGAGTTTTTTTTGTTTTTTAGAATAGTATTTTCTTTATATATTTTGTTTGAAACATTTTTCAGTACTATCAGAGAAGCACTGTAGTGTTTCAATAACCTAATGTTAGACTTTTAAAAAATGGTTTTAAGATTACATGACTCATTCAAATCCTCTAGATTTTCAGAATTCCTCAATAACTTATAGTAGATTATTTCCTATATGATAAAAATGCAGTAGTTAATTATTGAGGCAACAGATAGTTTGAGATCAATATCTGAAAATTAAATAGTTCTAATTCTGATGTGATATTTAATCCTTTGCAGAATAATGTGTGGATTTTTGTTTCATCACTGTATACACTGTAGTGATATTTTGAAAATGGTTCTTCTTGTATTAAAAATTCTGCATTTCAAACATTTTAAAACAAATATTGTTTACCAATGCCAGAATTGTAAAGGTACTAAAAATGATAGGTAATTCTAAACAAAATGTGAAAAAATATTGTAATTTTCTTTACAGAAAAATACACCCAGAATTTTTCACTTTTTACACATTGTATTGTGTTTATGTATTGTTTTTGATACATGAAAAGTTAATATCAACTTGCAATATCTTTCCTTGTTATTGGTTATTTATATGCCAGTTTAGAAAATAACAACACTCTTCCTTCCTGAGCACATTTTCATTTATTAATGATCAACTCTATGGAACCCACAGAGGTGTATCCTATCCTAAGGGAAAAATTACAGAAAATAAGTTTAGTATTCTTGAACAAACTGAAAAAAAAAACATTCAAAAATGAAATTTCTTCAATAAAAGTATTTTATTTATTTAATTTTATTCAGAAATTCTGAGATTAATTTCAATATGCTCTGAAATTTAATTCAAGTGTGGTTGTATTGATTTTAGCCAATCACTATTTCTCAACTTTGGTTATCATGAAATGGTGTAGTGTGTCCTTTCACAATAAAAAAAATCATTACTTTCATTACACCTACCTGTGTAATGCTAGGGGTTATGATAGCCTCTTACTTTTACTGGCCAAACGTGCCCAGTTACCATTTCCTAATTACAACCATCACAACTTTCCTAATAAATAAGTGGACACCCCCTAAGAATACAAATTGTCCATCACTGTGACATCATAAGCAAATAATTTTGACATCTAAATATAGGTATAGCTTGGTAAAGACCAAATAATACAAACAACCTTGTTAGGAATGGAATGATTCTGGGAATTAACTGTATTTTCAAGAGGTTTCATAGTTGGATGAAGGTGGTCAACAGATTGTTAGGTCACTTACAGTACTGCAGTCCACAGTGAATAGGGTGATAATATACATCAGAGAACATAAATTTTTTGCATCTTCCTGGCACCCAAAACAGACTGAACAGACTCCTCATTGTGAGGAAAGTGTGGAGAATAACCCATGTCAAATGGACAATACTGTTACAGAGATGCTATCATGCCTTCTAGACTTTGGCACACTAAAATTTTTGCCACTGAGTTTAGATTTGCTCTATTCTCAGTTAGTGTGTGAACCTGGGTTTAACAACTATCCTTCTTTCGTTAAACAGTGTACAAACCACAACAACTTATGGTGTTATTCCTGTTATTTTGTGGGGTGCTATTTGGGAGCTAGATAATCACAGCTGGAATGATTACTGCTGCCTAATATTTGATGCATGACTGTCTATGCCAATAACCAGCTTATGAGATATGATAATGTTTTAATACAATATGAGGTTCCTTCTCATTCAGTTAAGTCTTTAAGATTACCTCAGTCCCATGGCCAGACCAATCATAGATACAGATCTCATTGAGCACGTGTGATTTATTTTTTATTTTTTCTAAACAATGAACTTCTAGTAATACTTTCATCCATGTTCTTTGTTAGGAATGGAGAACAATTCCTTAGGTCTAGGTTTTAGGTCTTGTAAATAGGATTTGTAACTATGTTTCTTCATTAAATATTACAAAAGACACTAAATACTAAAGGTCATATACTATCTTTTTTCATGTCTGTTTATGTAATAAATTGGAATTCTTTCTGGAGTGTGTATCTGTTTACTAATTGGTAAACTGTGTATGTCGAAAAACTACAGTACATAGCTGTTTCTTTCACTTAACTTAATGCAGGCCTCGACAAATCCTGGGTGCCTGGTCACAATAGCGACTAAAAGGTTCATTGTGGTGCCTAGTATTTTCTCCCATTTTATTTGTGCGTAGGGCTGTGCCAAATAGAACTTGAATGTAGAATGATTTTCGCATCCTTTGAGTCTTAAGTTAAACTTTGTTTCTATGATTTTAATGGTGGATTCAAAATTTTTTCAGGAATGAAGCACTGTGGTTACACAACATGTTACTAATTTTATGCCATTTTGTTTTTCTTCTTTCTCTCAATTCAACCAATCAGTGTGCATGTTTAGACTCTGAAGGGACCAAAGGCAGTTAGTTCAGGCAATACTATCAAGTGGTTGTTGATATAATGTGATTGTTAGCATGCACCTGTTGCTGAGATAGTAAATAAATATATGTAGCCCCAATTTCCTGGTACAAACAGTAGTGAACTTAGGTTAGGCACACCTGGCTCCCGAGTTTTTGGACTGCTCCTTGATCTGAAAATATTTGTCTGACTTAATATTATACAAGTACATGAAATTACTAAACATTTCAACTCCTTAGTCAGTAACCCTGCTATACAAGTATGTTAAATTACTAAACACTTCAACTCCTTAACCAGTAACCCTGCTATACAAGTACATGAAATTAGTAAACATTTCAACTCCTTAGTCAGTAACCCTGCTATACAAGTACATGAAATTACTAAACACTTCAACTCCTTAACCAGTAACCCTGCTATACAAGTACATGAATTAGTAAACATTTCAACTCCTTAGTCAGTAACCCTGCTATACAAGTATGTACATGAAATTAGTAAACACTTCAACTCCTTAGTCAGTAACCCTGCTATACAAGTACATGAAATTAGTAAACATTTCAACTTCTTAGTCAGTAACCCTGCTATACAAGTATGTTAAATTACTAAACACTTCAACTCCTTAGCCAGTAACCCTGCTATACAAGTACATGAAATTACTAAACACTTCAACTCCTTAACCAGTAACCCTGCTATACAAGTACATGAAATTAGTAAACATTTCAACTCCTTAACCAGTAACCCTGCTATACAAGTATGTTAAATTACTAAACACTTCAACTCCTTAACCAGTAACCCTGCTATACAAGTACATGAAATTACTAAACATTTCAACTCCTTAGTCAGTAATCCTGCTATACAAGTGTGTTAAATTACTAAACACTTCAACTCCTTAACCAGTAACCCTGCTATACAAGTACATGAAATTAGTAAACATTTCAACTCCTTAGTAAGTAACCCTGCTATACAAATACATGAAATTACTAAACACTTCAACTCCTTAACCAGTAACCCTGCTATACATGTACATGAAATTACTAAACATTTCAACTCCTTAGTCAGTAACCCTGCTATACAAGTACATGAATTAGTAAACATTTCAATTCCTTAGTCAGTAACCCTGCCATACAAGTGCATGAAATTACTAAACATTATACAAGTACATGAAATTAGTAAACATTTCAACTCCTTAGCCAGTAACCCTGGCTATTGGAGATCTATGTTATCTGTACTCCCAGAGTTCAGTGACCTATACATAGATAACAGAACAACTTGTTCATTATACTGTAAAAAGGTTTTTTATCAGTGATTGACAGACAGATCTGCCATTGGGAAGCATAAGTTGTCCTTGCACAATATTTTTGTTGATGGATAGTGCTAGAAAAACAGATTCATAATGTGAATTTAGTGGTGGTAGAGGAGAGTCAGCTGTGACAAGAGGTGCTGAGCCAAAACGAAAAGAGAGAGCTTGTTGAGCTAGGTATGCCCTCACAGAGCAAAAATACAGTGTAACACTGCTTCTGAAAATAGTTGTTTCACTCCTAACATATTGAAGTTTTTTTGGGACACCTGCTCTTTAGGTACTACTACTATCAAATATTCCAGCAACACTCCAGTGTTGGAAAATTGTTTGATTGATAAGCTCATTCATTTTATTGTGTGTGGAAGTAATTGTTATTCAAACCAGATGATTGGAAAGTCACTGTTATCTGGACAAACAAGATTGAGACACTGGATTGATGGGTATAATTCACAAGCTGCATTATGAAATGTACTAACCCTAATCAGAGTTTCTTTTGAGGTACATAATAACTTATTGGAAAGGGGTTGAGGGTTTGTGTATTGTAGTCTTTTTCTTCTTCTTCAAAGAGGTTAGAGAGAAGGGGACTTGGCTTGCAGAATCTGAATTTCATAATCAAAGAAATACCCAAGGTTATGGTGTCAAAAACGGGGAAGGACAGGTCATATCATCAGTACTTGGGGATCTGACTGTAGTAAAATGGCATGACAAGAAATGTATTTACATGATTCCATTTGTCCCCTTAGTTTTTTAGTTGCTAAGTTTGATTATATTGTGACTGGAGGTTGTTTCTAGCTGATGCAGGTGCAGAGTTTATAGGTACTCAGCCATTTTCCTGCCAGGTATATACATTATTATATATATATATATATTATTTTTATCTTCTGTTGAGTAATTGAATTTGGGCATATATTTAGTTTTATAGTTTGTCAGAGTCTGTTCTTTCATTATGTTTAGTGTGATCTAAACATGCGTATTCTACCTGTTCCACAGATGGATGAAAGTGTTCATCACCTGTTTATTCTTTATTTTTATTGCACTCAGAACTTAGCTGGTCTCAAGTTTTGCACACATTGCATATTTTTAGAAAATTAAAAGTTGTTCTTAATTATTTACATATTTTCTTTTTTTAACGTATCAGTTTTTAAACTTTAATTTCTTTTGTTAGACTTCCTTGTAAATTTGTATAACTTGAGTAATGAATTTATTCATCATTCAAATCTAGTAGGCTTTTTGGCAGTCAGTTCTCAATTCTTTAGATTTAAAATAAACTTCAACTCAATATTTAGCACCTGTCCTCATCATTGGAAAAAATGGATGGTGCTCTTCATCGGCAGCTCTCGCGGATTTACCGTAGGGACTTGAGAGAGAGACCACAAGAAGCCACACAAAGGCATATTAGATATGAAAGGATTTCTATTGATGGGGATTTACTTAGGTAAGTCTATCATTTAATAATACAAAAGTTCGAAACTAATAGTTACATTACAGAAGTTATTTCATTCTGTTACAACTGCTGCTTCAGTCTGGTCTTATTAGTTACAAAAATGCTATTTTAAATGTAAAGAAATAAAAATGTAACATCAACTTTAACCCTTTCATGATGGGTCATGGGTGAAAGGCCATGTCATCT